ATGAACGCAAGGAAGGGGAGAATTACAAGGAATCCCAGAAGACTCTTGAATCAGTCGTAAGACAAACAGCGGGAAGACTTCCCAAGACAGAGAAACCCTGGGATAATGTTCATATCAAAGCCCCCTTCCAAGAAGAAATCAGAAAGCATATCTGGCGTAGACCAGACAAAGTCAAGCCACTAAACGAACTGAAGCTAAGAGGCCTTACTCACTTGAAAGGAAAGCAGGCAGGAGGTCATCTGCATATGTTGCTACAAAGGTCAACCGGTACACAGAGAGAACTGATGGAACAAGATCTGAAGTCGAATATTCTCCCGATTCATCAAATTCTGCAAGTGAAGGCTGAAGACTACCATGGAGTAACATTCTACACTTACAGACTTCAACGCACCGATGGGAGCGAATTTACTTGTCAAGAGAACGACTTCATCATGCTGAAACCGGATGACATCTACCAAATGCTCATGGCCTACAGATACCTTCCAGTCAGGCAGAGCATAGTATACAGCGAAGGCCTCGCAGCTATCAAGAGATTCATGCTTAGACAAATCCGAGTACACTCTTCACATGACCTACAGATGGCTATTGAATGCAATCTAAAGAAGACAAATCTGACAAAGCCAAGACTGTATGGTCCAGAACTTGAAGATTTCCCAGCCTACCACATCTTCTTCACACCGCCAGCAGTCACCTATCTGAACCACAAGAACGAAAAGCGTCTGATGGTAGTCAGTGAAATCGAGAAGTACTGCGACGGAACACTGAAGATAATCAGAGAGCAGATTCTACAGATGAAGGCAAAGCTGGAAGAAAATCTTCAAGAGGCATCGTCTTATGTTCAAAAGGAACACTCTACTGTAGAGACAATTTTAAAGGCCATTGACGATCGCCTCGAAAAGAGAAATGTGCTGAGGCAGTATGAACATGCACTTGGTTTGAGGAAGCACTACTTCAAATCACAGAAGCAATAAGAGAATGGCACTTGATCACAAAGGGGGAGATTGTTGGAGATATTTAATTGTGAATCAAGTTGGTCATAGATTAGCTTTATATTTAATCCTTGTATTTAAATAGTGCATAAATTAGATAGAAATCAGGCCAAGTGTTAGGCCCATTTAAACAGGCCAAAAGCCTGGTACGCCTAACCTAAACCTCGCCTATAAAAAGGGAGCCGAGGTTTAGGAAAAGGCTGAACGTCGTACTTATTATTCATAGCCTTACGCTTATCATTCTGCTGTACGTTCCACGGTTTATCAAAGAAGGTTTTACGGTGATTCATTCTGTGTTCATATTTACGTTTAATCTTCCTTGTTAGATCGATTATTCATTGCTGTTACAGAAACAGGGACTAACACATATGATCATACTTTAAGAAGAATGCTATGTTTTAGTCTCACCCTGAGTAATTTCTTCTGTATAATACGGAGTATGATAACAAACAAACAAACAGATGAACAAATAAATAAATAAATGAATGAATGAATGAATGAATGAATAAATGAATAAATAAATAAATAAATAAATAAATAAATATGGAGTAAATAAATAAATAAATAAATAAATGAAACAAATGTAATTCATATAGCAACACAAAGTTCTACTAGAATAAATGAAGCATAAGAATCCAAATTTATTTTTATTAAAAAAACTCAAAGTTTCAAGAATGCTCAAGAATTTTGGTCATTTTATTAATGAGTAAGAATATTAATCGTTATACAACCGTCACACTCATTGCTACATGTGGTACAAGCATAGTTGCGATCGAGTTTATCTTCTTAATAATTGTTTTCTTTTTATTTATCTTGTAAAATTTTGTGTACTTATTTACGGTTATATATTTATTAACTTGAGATTATATTTTTAAGTGTTAGCGATTTAACGATGAAAGAAAGTAATAGTTAAAATATTTATTTTCTTAATGGCTAAGTGACGACGTACCAGAATTGCGCTGATGTAATACTATCGATTCTTATACCGATTCTTCTAGAAACTTCTAGAATCGAACCAATATGGGATTAATGAATCGAGGGGGGTGGGGTGGGGCAAGTTGAAGAAGAAAAAGAACGGAAGGAGAGGGGTGGGGCGAGCTCGACTGAAGAAGAAGAAGAATAGATTTTAGAGTTAAATGAGTTAAAAGTCCACATAAATCTTTAGTGAAGAGAATAGACAATTGAGAAGAATTAATGTACTAAAAATGAGTTAAAATTCCACGAGAATCCATGATTTTAGAAATTCATAAGAATGAACGGAACTTTGAATATGCCTAGACGTTTATAGACTTTTAAAAGTCTACATTGAATACACCTAGACTTTTGTAAACTTTTAAAATTCCACATTGAATACCCCTAAACTTTTAAAATCCATAGACTTTTAAAATTTTGCTACTAAATCCTAATACAATACACCCCCCTACATTAAAAGTTTTATAAAATTGCACTATATAAAGAAATTAATTGAAAAGAGATAATTAACTGAGGGTATTTTCTGAAGAAAAGTAGACCATCTCCGGGAATGCAAGATAACTTAAGGCATAGATGGTTATAAGATTTCCCTCCACGTCACATTACCAGAAATGTAACTTTTCCGATTTTTCTCAAATCCGTGAACCAAACATGTGAGATTATCCCAAACCAAATAGGCCCCCATATGTTATGGAGTATATCTTTGGCGTCGACGCCTTGGCATCCCTCAAGGCTTTTAGAATACCCGTTGTAGCCGTGTTTGGAGAGGTGACAGTGACCTTGGGAGATGTTGTTGTATTGACTGGGTTACAGGTCGATGGGAGAGCTGTTACTGGTACTGCTTGTCGACAGTGGGTTGACGAGTGTGAGCGTTTGTTGGGTGTTCGCCCCCTTCTTCGGACTGACCTTCAGGGGTCATCTCTGAGGATGCCATGGCTGAGGGAGCATTTTGCTATTCTTCATGCGGACGCTGATGAGGTGATGATCCAGCAACATGCACGAGCATATATTTTGATGATGATGAGAGCTTCCGTTTTTGCTGACAAGAGCGGAAATGAGGTTCAGGTGCTGCACTTGCCTATGCTAGAGAGGTTTGATGTAGCAGCACAGTTCAGCTGGGGTAGTGCCACGCTGGCTTATCTCTACAGACAACTGTGTCACGGTTGCCATAGAGGGAGCACAGAGGTTTAAGGATTTTTGCATCTTCTCCAGATTTGGTCATGGGAGTACATCCACATTGGGCGTCCCATTATAGTGCATACCATGGCATTGATGGACACCCACTGCCTGATGAGCCTCCACGTCTCCTGGGACCACATCATGTACGGGGCGAGGACCCTTTAGGCCGTCGGCATGTTTTCAATCGTTTGAATTTATGTTATTGTATGTTGAATATAAATATATTCATACTATTCACATTAATATATGCTACATGAATGTTTAGGTGACTATTTGCTGATCTATGTCCCACATCATCGGCTTCTGGGCTCAGTGTTTACAGGGATGCGTTTGATCGGATGTCTAAGGATCATGTATGGTGTGCGTAATATAACATTAACTATAATATGTATATCAGAAATACTAATATTGTATCTTTATGAAAAAGATTACATGGATGCCATATACATCTGAGATGTTTGCAGATTTACCCCCCGCTGGACGAGAGCATTCTCACATATGGCGAGCACGTGTGCCGTTGATATGCTTTGACATTGTTGAGCTTCATTTGCCTGATCGTGTATTGCGACAGTTTGGGTATGAGCAGGTCATTCTAGCACCTATCAACACATATGTAGACCTTCATAGGTTGGATAGGCGTGGGAAGCATACAGAAGATTGGGCACTCAGACATGTCCGATATGTCGCTATGTGGGACAGGCGAGCTGAGCTTGTTGTGACTGGGACACCGACATTAGTCCCATCTGTTTCGGGAGACTACATGGGATGGTATTACAACATCACTCGTTTGTTTGTGTCTCCTTCGTTCAGACTCTCTACTCACCATTATTAGCCTAGTTCCTTGGCCTTGCATCTGACGGTAAGTATATTACTAATTACTAAAGTAAGGTGTTTTCTTTATTTAACACTTTTATTTATTTCTAACTAATTGTAATTGTGTTTCATATTTCAGACACGAGCTTTGCAGCGTATACATCAGCGGGCTACTGCCACAGTGAGTGATACGCATGACGTGGACATGTACGGTCAGACTTTGACGGGCATCACCTCGTTATGTTCAAATGTGTTGGGGCGAGTCGACTACGGTCATCTTATACATATGCCCCCATCTCAGGATATGCCATCGACATCTAGTGCAACAGCAACTTCATCATCCCAGACTCAACATGAGAGAGTGGTTCTTCAACCACGTCAGCGGCGTAGGCGTAGGCAGCAACAACAACATCTCCATGACCAAGACGATCAAGAAGACCATGAGAACTTGTAGTTTGTCTTTTGTATTGGAGTTTTTTGTACACTAGATGTTGTAGGAAGAATTGACTTTATTTTACGCATTTTCACCTGTAAACTCTTTTATGATGTGTTGATGTGTTCGATTATGAATATTAGATGACTACCGTGTTATGAATATTGGATTATTGTACTGTGTTTTACTGGTTATGAATCTACTAGTTTGTATCTTATTTGTGAAGGGTATGTATGCGGTGTTTTGTATGTTGTTGAGAGAAGGTGTTATGTATGTGTTTGTGAGCAGGTGTGTTGTATGTTTTGTAATGTGTTGTATGTTTTGTAATATGTTGTATCTGGTTCGTAACCCATAAATAGGAGAAAGGAGATCTTGTTTAGAGGAAATTTATAGTTAGGGGTAAGTCGCCAAATGGTTGGGCGACTTATAAGTCGCCAAACGGTTGACCGACCTATAAGTCGACAAACCGTTTGACGACTTACCCGAACATGTTTAAACCCAATAATAAATCGGTAAATACTTTTAACACAACATTATTTTCGTAATTAATTAATTAATTAATTAACATTCGTTCTTAAAAAAACTCAAATAAAACACTCGAATTTCATCAACCTCTCAAATGTATCAATACTACGAGCATTCATGACATGCTCTGCTTTCATACCTCCTCCACCATCGCCTGAAATGCTCGTCGGCGGCTCCGTATACATTTCGCGAAAGTCAGCCTTTACAAACCCTTACTGTCTTTTTAAGTTTCTATCGCCACCATGTCCAGGTCTCCCCTCTGTCTTTTTCTTGGCATTCCTTTTTATTTTGTTTTAAACAATTTTAATTTGATTCAAAACCATGGTTGTGTTTATGCATTCTTTATTGTGTTCAATTTTCCTATAGTTTACTAGAAAAAAGCTCGTTTTGGCTCGTTTTAGAAGTTTCGAGTTTTCATGATTAATTTGTAAAATTTCAAGCTTTAAAAAGAAAATTAGTGATTAAGGAGCTTTAAGTATCCTTTTCTATTCCTAATCAGAAGCTTTTTGATGGCATTCGCTTTTATAAACGGGCCACTAGTTGTCGTTATGCTGCTGTCTGCTGAACAAAAAAAACTACATTTCCATCCTTGAGTTCATGTGTAGATGACGTTTTCATAGTTGATCGGAGCATTTAATACCCTTGAATATGACTGGAGAATGTATAACTGTACGCAGATTCGTGGCAATTGGGAGTATTAAAGGAATTACACAGTACAGACAACCAAATCAAACAATCAACAGTTCAGAAGGGATAAAACGTGGTGGACTGTTTTTCAGAATTGGGTTATTTTCTCCCAGGTACAAATGTTATAGCCAATGCGTGTCTCAAACTAGATGGAAAGCTAATTTCACAACATGCAGAATCCAGGAGAGCTTCTACAATCATTTCCAGTGTTTCCATTTGGGCACTCACAGAAGAAACAATATGGTAAATCATGCCCATCTGACATGGAAGAAGTTCCAAAAACAGTCTCTGAATAGGGGGTGGACTTCTCTATCTATAAATAGACTAGCTCAAGCAGTAAGCTTGGCTTTGAACCGCCCTTATGTGGCTTTTCCTGGTATCTTTGCATTAACATGCGGAAGAAATGTGGCACTGGCACAGGCAACACAAGACACAAACTTTGTCTCCAAAAGGAATAAACTGTATATGCGTGCTCAAGATGGAAATGTTTACTTTACGTCATTGATACGGTCTATGTTCGATTCGCTTGTTCTGCTGTTGAGAGTACTGTATTTGGCTGTACTCTTTTCACCAAGTGTAGTAATGGCTCCATTTGCAGATATTTTTGGACCCCGTTACACAAAAGTCTGGCTCCAGGTTGTTCGTCAAACACTTGAAAGAGCAGGCCCTGCATTTATAAAGTGGGGCCAATGGGCAGCTACTAGGCCAGATCTTTTCCCTAGTAATGTATGCACTGAACTGTCAAAGCTCCAAACAAGTGCCCCTGAACATAGTTTTGCCTACACAAAAAAGACCATTGAAAGAGCTTTCGGCCGTAAAATTTCAGAAATCTTTGACGAGTTTGAAGAAAAACCTGTAGCATCTGGAAGTATTGCTCAAGTTCATCGCGCTTCCTTGAGGTATCAATACCGTGGTAGGAAGATCAAGCCCATGGCTGTGGCCGTGAAAGTAAGACATCCTGGAGTTGGTGAGTCAATAAAAAGAGATTTCGAGATAATAAATATAGTTGCAAAAATATCAAAATTCATTCCTACTCTTAAGTGGTTAAGATTGGATGAAAGTGTCCAGCAATTTGCTGTTTTTATGATGTCTCAAGTTGACCTTGCTAGGGAGGCTGCCCATTTAAGCCGCTTCATTTATAATTTTAGAAGATGGAAGGATGTTTCTTTTCCAAAGCCTGTATATCCATTAGTACATCCTGCAGTGTTGGTGGAAACATTTGAGCAAGGAGAAAGTGTTTCATATTATGTTAATGAGCTCGAGGGGAATGAACGGATTAAAAGTGCACTTGCTCATATTGGAACCCATGCACTTCTAAAGATGCTTCTGGTAATGTTTTCTTTTCATTTTGTTAATTGTATATTGCTGTTTCAGTTGTATCTTCGCATTCGGAAGGGTTTGCCCAATAATTCCTTTAATTCAACTAGATGATTGATCAGAAGTCGCGTTGGAGGTAATGCTAAGAGAAAATGTATTCCTATGTTGGTTAAATGGTATTTACTCTTTAAAAGGTTTACTAACCTTATAGAAGGAGAATGAGGTAGTTGCTGTGCTGTGTGTACTATATGGTGGTTTCTATATGTTGGTTTAAGAGCTAAAGACTGGAAGTCATTTACTCTCATTTTCTTTGTATATTTGATTCAATTATTGAATTCAGAACATAGTTCTATAGTGACTGTAACATTTGGAAAATCTGTCATTTACCACAGAGAGAATTATATACCAGGAGATGTTGTTTTCCTTAAGGTATTTTCCATTTAAAGGGGTGTAAGTATTTACTGCCAAAGGGCCTAGTTCTAGTTCAGTTCCGTCTCCTATATGTACTCCTAATAACAATTGTGACCTTGATCAACCTAGAAAGAGCAAAACTGAAACTAACTTTGGTTCATATTTATATCATCCATCTCATTGGAGTTGGATGATATAGACAAACTAAATGAAGATATAGTTTCTCTATATATGTTGGAGGTAGAACCATTGTTTGTATTTGTGCAATGCAACTGCGCCTCATGGCACGTCTCAACTAATTCCTCGACTTTGGCATAAAAGGCATTGCCTATGGCACTGGGAGCGTTGCGTACACAATATTGTAGTGAGGTTTACGCGATATTGCATATGCAATAAGTCGTTGAGAGGCATACGCAATATGAGGTCAGGGTGTAAGGGTATTATTTGGGCTCACTTGGCCCATTTCTTAATTTTTATAATTAACATATTCTGCATTTATGACCCCTATTTAAACTACTAGATAGTGATAATTTGATTATTCCGTCATCAATCTTTCAAACTTAAAAAATTACTACCTCCGTCCCATAAAATTCTTCCCACTTTCCTTTTTGGGCCGTCCCAAAAAATTCTTCCCACTTACCAATTTTGGACAATTTGTGTGGTTCACATTCATTCACCTTTTTCTTACACAACCACAACCATACATTTCCACTTTATTCCACTTTCTTAATCTCCGTGCCAAGTCAAAGTGGGAAGAATTTTAGGGGACGAAGGTAGTAATATGTTGGGATTTTTTTTACCCCGGGGGGTGTTGGGGGCTAGGGAGTAGGGGCTGAGGCGCCTGGGGTAAACTGGGATCAAACTCACTCCATTGAGTATTGAACCCAAGGCCTCCCATAAGGGAGAGTGAGTCGGCGACCGGCTGAGCTGGACCGCTTCATCTTAATATGTTGGGAATTTTGTTATGATGAACAGTTCAAAAATGTTTGCTATCCTGTGGTACTTTGAGTATTACTTTGCTAGGATTATGGTCTCATTATAATTTGTTTTAAACTTTTAATACTACATATGACATTTGATGACTTTTGGTGATTATGTTGTTTTATTTTTGATTGTGTTTATATATATGTGTGTGTATATGTAATGAGGCTTATGCAAAATGCAGTTTCGAACCTTGGGTAGAACCAAAAACTTTTGATAAGGCTATGAATTTTGGAATTGTTAGTTTTTGAAAATAAGCCAATAATAGTGAGTTAGATTAACCTTTTTAATAGTTGTAGTCTAATTTGGTGAAAATGATTTTACTCAAACATTTCAAAAAAAATTCTTTTATATCTGTTCTGCAGTAGTGTGTGTGCCACAATAAAGACACGACTTGCTTTGGCATCCTCAAATAATTTGGATGTTCATCCAGTGGATGATAAAACTGCTTTTGTTAAATGATGGTTTACTGGTTTATATGGACCCATCTTTTTGTTGTGTTGCTTCTGGCCCTCGAGAACTAGGTATTTAGGTTCAAAAAGTCTCTATACAGCTTTATGCAAGCTCCATTATAGCTTACGGACATCCATCCAACGATTATGTGTTTTGGTTTTATTTTGAGATTATGTTTTCTAGATCTCTTGAAGTGTGTGATTGTATGCTAAGTAGTTAAATTGCTACCCGGTAGCAACTCGGTCAAGGGCCGAGTAGCGAGTAGGACTGAGTACTCGGGATTACTCGGTGAGTACTCAGCCCTATAATTAATTTTAAAAATATAAATGTCCGGAATTATAGTAATATATTATTCCTATAATTCTTAGATATGAAAAAAAACCTAGTGAAGAAGAAACGAGAAAGAAGATAGAGTCATGGAGGAAAATAACTTACCTAGACTTTTTAAGGTTTATTTCCAATTTTTAAATACCCACTCATTATTTATAAATTCCATAATATCCCTCTTTAATTAAAACTTTTGAGATTTAGCAAATTTTTATGCGTGACTGGGTAACTCGCCGAGTCAAAAATTTCCATGAGTCAAGAAACTCTCTGAGTACTCTGCGAGTAACTCGGAAAAATAGGACGGGCCGAGTTAGATTGCTTAGGAACGATCACCCCCCGAGTTGCGAGTACTCGCCGAGTACTCGCCGAGTACTCATCGAGTAGATAACACAAATTGTATGTTTATATCTAGGTATAGGCTACTTTTTGTGAATAACAGATGCTTTGAGTGAAACGAAAGTGTTCTTATCTTCTAAGTTTGACGTGAAGTATCTAGGAGAAGCTGGTATAATTTTGTGAGAAAGACTTTCCAAAAATTAGTAATCGAATTCATCCTATCCCACCCTCACATTAAAAGTTTAGATAACGCTCAATTGCTTGGGTGCAAAGCAACATCTAATCTGTACGATTCATCCATGGCTTTGTAGAAATTTTACGGGCCTCCTTTTTCTTAAGAACAGTATGCTAAGCACATTCAAAATCCAATGTTTTATGAACAGTACCGTGTTATTTTTTACAATCATTTTTCTTTATCACATCACCATCATTTACTCCAGTGCCGTAAAGGTTCCCCACCTACGGTGGGTTAAGGGGGGGTCGGATGTACGCAGTCTTACCCCTGTACTAAATCATTTTTCTTTACATACATGAAATTTAATCTGTACTAGTCTTGTAATTAAAAATAAATACAGTAGTTCTAGTAAAATGTTTAAAGTAGACATATTTATTTCCAATCAAATAAGTTTACACCATGCATCGGACTCTTGTATTTTGTAGTGATACTATTTAAATTTATTCCTTATACATTATAGATTTATTTATACCTTCTACTTTAAAACACAGGTTTCTTATTTCATTATAATATTAAACTATGTAATATTTTTATGACTGATGCTTTGAGCAAACATTATTATTTCATTTTGATTCTAAAGTATGGTATTAACTTTTCGGCAACTAATTTTAATTTTTTCCTCAAAATATGTATGATACCTCACCAGAATACCGCTAGTGGTATCTAGAGAGAAGACAAAGCTAAAAAGAAGAGAGAGAAAGATATTTGATATATTAATGAGGTTCGAACCGTTGCATCTGCTCCAAATGGGGTATTATACCAGTCATAAATGTTAGGTACATTATATGAACGTACAAGTGTAAGCTGATCTATGGATGAAGCCCTACAACGTATGAAATGATGACGCGTGACACCGCTGATCTTCTGTGCAGTGGATGAGGTGCCTGATGGACGTTGTCCCGCTTCTGTGAGAGGATTGTACTGCTATGTCCATCATGTTGTTTGGCGAGATCTCCATTGGGGACGAGGTGCTCTAGGCCGAGGGGTCAGCCTGGCTTGTTCCGGATGTTATCAAGTTCTTTGCTATGCCGAGGTGTGTGAGCCGAGGAGTCGGCCTGGACGCTATTCCGGAAGTTGTCGAGTGCTTTGTTTGAGCTGTTCTTGAGGAGGACCCTCCTCAGGCCGAGGGGCCTAGCCGAGGGTAATGTCCAATTAGCTGTTGGGCCAGTGATAGATGTCCATGAGTGTGTGGGCCGTGGGCCGTGGGCCGTGGGCCTGGACTCATATACTTTATCAATGTAATTGTTAATAATTATAGAATAGGAAACAGTTAATTTTGATACTTATCAATTTTCAAAGAATATTTCTCTATAATACCACTATTTTTTAAATACTTGCATATTTTTCCTGCATGTCTAGCATTACATTTTTCAACATAGCATTTCTTCGCGTCAAGTGTTATTGGCTTCTTGCCCATGTCTGTGCTACTTACTCATATAAATACCAGTGTCATCCCTAGACAGAGTCGCAGATATAACATATACGCAGTACAAACTAAAGGTTCAGTATTGATTATGATAAAAGTGCAGGGGGTAAACTAAAACAATATAAAGTGCAGAGACTTCATTCTAAAAGTGCATGCATCAGCATTCTTCTAAACTTCTAATAGTAGCAGTCAGCAAAGGATTTCCACTTGGCTGTATTAAAAGTGCACATGGAGGGAGGGTAATTCAAATGAAAACAGAAAAGTGAAGTGCACAAGGCTCGAATGTGTTTGTTTTTTTATAAACGCATCATATTAGTAACATAGGAAAAGGTGAAGATTCTGCATGATTGTGGGCCTGTGGTTAGTCATAAATATGCAATATTGCAGACTTCTAAGAGTTTCATTCCATGCTTCTTATAGGTGGACAATTTTGTGCATGCTGACATGCATCCTGGAAATATCCTCGTCCGGGTAACCCAGAGCAAGTCTTCAAGGAAACGCGTCTTCAAATCAAAGCCCCATGTTATTTTCCTTGATGTAGGCATGACTGCTGAGCTTTCTAGTAGTGATCGAGTAACATTCCTGGAGTTCTTTAAGGCTGTAGCTCGTCGAGATGGGCGCACTGCTGCAGAATGCACTTTGAAATTATCTAAACAACAGAACTGCCCTAATCCCAAGGCATTCATTGAGGTTGAATCTAACACTTCTGAAGTGCTTTTTATCTGGGAAAATTTGCATGTTTCTTTGGGTTTGTTGAGTTTAGGGTCAAATTGCTTACCCTTTCAGTTGGTATACACTGCTTTAACTCGAAATTAGTATTGAAATGATCTTCTACATCATTCATTAAAGGAATGGCATGGGCAGGGGTGGATCTATGTAGGGGCTGAGGTGGGCTCCAGCCCAGCCCGGTCCAATTATTTTTATTAATATAGGTAAAAGTTTAATATTCAGCCCATCGCAAAATTAAGTTCAGCCCAACCCAAGACTGGGCTCAAGGTGTTATATGAAATGGCGGCCCAAGCATTTAAAAGCTCGTGACCATTGCAACAACTGGCCCCGATGCCTAATAGGCGAGTAATGGGCTTACGACAACTACTCAAGTCATTGAACACTTAAATTGATTCAAGGAGTGCTTTATTTATATAACACTTAGGAGGATAATTCATCCTTTGCAGCCGGTGTGGGAACCATTGAGAGGAACGAAGTTTACATACGGAGTACAAATATTACATACGGTGTCGGAGGATGATCCATGTGCAAATTGTGCAATCTCACCCACATCAATGTTCTCTTCAAATATATAGCACTTTATATTACATCATTATTTTACAACATGTGCTAAACAATAATTTTACAATTATTATATTATTATATTATTATAATCTATTATTATTAAATTAATACTACTATTATTATTAGGATGTTTTTACTTGGACTGTTTTTACTTGGATTGGTAATATAGTCTGGTTTGGTCTGAACTGGTCTGGTCTGGTAAGAGTCTGGTCTTTGTGTATTTTATAACTAAGAAATTCAGGTCTGGTCTGGTCTGGATGCATCATCGATCGCCACTGCAAGTCGATTCTCACCATGCGCAAATCTCAACGACGACACTGAACTCCAACTATTCCCACCCTGCGCAAGCTATAAACCTCGTAGAATCAGGAAGTGAATCGCCTTCGACAACACTGAAGGATGAGTTGAAGACATCTGCACCATCAATTCCGGAGCCGGATCCAGAATATTACAGTATTCAAACCACTGAGTTTTCAACAGATAATCTTGAAGATTCAGAAACGCGCAAATCTGATATTCTTTACAAACAGGAAGGAAATCGTACTGAGCACAATGATCCTGCCTGAGGGGCTGATGAGGAAGGCCTGTATCACCCATCTATCCTTACCTATGAGGGTCGAAGATATGCTCTTGTACTGGAAAGAAACATAGAATGTTTTAAATCTTTGTTGGGAAGAGTTCAAGAACGTGAGTTGGGGGATATCGGGGAGATTGTGCACCTTCATTCATCAAAAAGAATTTTGGAAGGGCGGAATAAGTTTGATGGTTTCAGATTTAATGATGATATTTCTGTGAAGTGTGTCCAAAATGGATTGGGGGTAGGAATTACTGGGAATTGTAAGAAAAAGGGTGGTATTGCTACTAATGTTGAGGCAGAGGTGTTTCGGATGCTTGTCAATAATTTCATACCTGATCTATTAACAGATGCATTAATCATTGGTGAAAATGGTAAGGGAAAGGCAGTAGTTTGTAAACCGGTTCAATGGGGAAGTGCAGATTTGGACTATAGGTTTCATATGACAATTGCGGATCAATGGGTTAAGATACTCAGGAAAAGAGAGGAGGATTGGGAATTAGGTGACAGCATTCACACACTTGCTAATAGAAGTGGGATGGAGAAATATGTTGGAAATGTTGACAGTCAGGACCAAGAAATTAGGGGTGAAGGTGTTGTGTTATGCCGGGGTACCTTAGCAAAGCAATTGGGGAAGAATGATCCACAGATCAGTGCAATTGACGGATCAGTCTTCACTCATTCAGATGTCAAACCCAGATTGGCAGTTAAGGGCGGCAGTATGATACTTTCTGCAATTTGGGACTCCTCTAATTCCAGACTGAGATGGGCCGATAAGTTTACTCTTGAATACCAGTTGAATACAATCCGTGTGGACCTGGACTTTACAAATCAAGCTGTTGTAATTGATGTTTCAAACAGAGAGCATCTCATGGATTTATCGTTAAAGCCAGAAATTGCTAGTGGTGTCAAAAGTGATGGAAAGTGGCTGGATGGACTGCACACTCTCTATGGAGCTGTTCAACGAGTAGTTTACACCTATATTTTTCCTATGACGCAATCCAAACAGGAGACTGATTTACGGGATACACGATTAGAAGTGGGTACCTTGTTTTGGGACCTCTTGGCTATGCTCAAATTTGTAATCAATGAGGTTTTTCAACCGTTAGCTAGGGATTTTTCGAAGAGGTTGATTGATCAAACAGTTGAAGTTTGTATGTGTTCTTGAAAAGGTTAAAACTGGTTTGCTCTATGATCCATTTAGAGCTGAAATTTCTCAGACTATGTCTGCCTTATGTAAGAGACTGCTGAATTTGGATGAAGATCTTTGTAAGCAAGTTGCTGTTGCTCTTTATGATGTAGCAGGTTGTGCCTTATCCCCCATAGATTTTGAAAGGATCAAGCTCGTTGCTGTGAGTCTTAGAGACAAATATTTGCTGGAAAGTTTCAAGTATGATTGGATCTCTGGGAAGATGTTGATCTGCTATTATAACGGGGATTTCAAATCAGATGCTTTTGAACTGATTCCAGGTCTTGATCAAATCGAGGTCAATTCCTTGGAAAAGATGTGGGAACAAAAGCAAGGGATACAACAGGAGATGCAGATACAGGGAGAATTTTACAACACCAGGGAACATGGTGCCACCATGCATTTACTTCTGCTCTTTCCTGCTGAGAAGGACTTGAGGATGATGGTTCCAGTACCAAAGCTAAAGGCACAGAATTCAACGATGTACTGGGAAAGGAGAGGTGCCAAGATGAAGACAAAGTTGAAGGCTAAGACTGTTTCCTATCACCCATCTTGAGGACAAGGTGGTTGTTCAAGGGGGGAGATATGATAGGACTCGGGCAGATTAGCACTGATAATAATAATAATAATATTAGAAGAGTTAGTATAAATAGAGGTTGAGGGTAGAATAGAAAGGAGGCTGGAATTATCATTTGGGCTTGGGACTTGGAAACTGTCTTGTATTTTCTCTCTCTATTTTCTGTTATACGAACTACCTCCATTGTTACGAATCTTGATTTCTTCCATAGTTAGCTCTCTCAAATTACAATAAACTGGTCTATAACCTATCATATGCATGTAAGTTTATGATATTACAACTGCCTAACATATATCATTGAGATTTTATTACGTCATTTCTAAATTCTAGTTTCAATTATCTAATTCAAGAAGCTTTACCTTGGGAACCTAGAAAAAATTGTTTCCCCAGTTGGGTATTGGGAGTTACAGGGTGTATTATGTCGTGTCTAGCTAAAGTTTTCTTTCCAAGCGCAAACTGTATTAAAACTTTAGGTTTTTCCTAAAAGGTCAATCGGATAGGTGGAGTGATTTGAGACCTCATATATTGCACCTTAACAAACTCCTATACCATATTAAGTTTTTACTCTAGAAGGTCAAATGAGTTTTAGTCAAATGATTGGTCTTTTTAGTTTAATAGGGATATGATACCATATTAAGAATGAAGGCTCCGTCTCAAAAGGTTAACTTCATTGGAGAGTTGTCAAAATCCTTAGATATGAGTTTGTATGTTTATATTTTACTAGTGTGGGATGACTTAACAAACTCAAACCAGCCTTTCTAGCGCAACCTTGTGTTTTTGAGCTATGTGGAATTCAAGTAAAATCTTTCCCCTTTTGATGGACTTATGGAGCATCTAGTAACTGCTAGTTTGTGTGATGGGATTTCTCAACAGGAGGTGAAAGAGTCATTTGATTTCTGGGGTACAGCAGAAGGCACTTCAATCCATCCAGCTGAGTGCATGCAGCAACTGCTTGAGAAAGTTAGACGCCACAGAGTTAATGTTGATGGGAATGTGTGCACTGTGATGGTGACAACTTTAGTCCTTGAGGTATTTTCTTTATTCTTCTTGCTGTTCTTTGATGATGAACTACCAAAATGAATAGCGGAGTCGCTTAATCTATGTTTGATCAACCATGTCAAAGGGTGAATATCAGTGAAGTCATTAAGGAGTAGGATTTTTAATAATCTTTAATAATATTCTTTTGCATCCAACACTTTCCCGTGTCTTGTGATCGTTGGAGAAGGTGCTGCTGCCAGGCATGATGAGGGGGAACTCAATGCCGTGGTATTAAGGGATATGGCCGAGATATCTAATTACATAAGTCACATAAAGAGGATATAAATACAGTATGTTCCACATTCCAAAACCTTTTAAAACATATAAAAAACTAAAAAACATACACACATGAATTGAGCTAGGCCTCTATACAATATACAAGGAAATAATAGTAATAAATAGGGGTTTTCGTATAATATAACTAAAATAAAACTTATGGACAAAATTATAATTATATGGTCACTACAACTGCAAAAACACCATTATAAAACACCATCATTTCCACTATTTAGTGAAACTCAACATCGCTATGGTTATTAATTATTACCGCTATTGGGAAATATTATCAATGACTGCTTTATAAAAGTCAAGTTTTTGTCCAATACAATTAGTGCAGTTGTATCATCACCATCATCATCCAGTGCCGCAAAGGCTTCCACCTACGGTGGGGTAAGAGGGGTCGAATGTACGCAGCCTTATCCATGTACTAAAGCACAAAGAGTCTGTTTCCGGATGACTCATAATGAAATCGCGTGGACTGACCTTTGCTTTATAACAGAGAAGCGTAGACAGTTTAGTAAGTCATTTTGCTTTATTCCATCATATTCCAAAACAAAAAAATAGTGAGCCTTTGGCTCCATTGTAAATGATGGTAATAATTAGTGTAGTTTTATAGTTGTCATTATTTCTAATATAAATAAATCCGGTTAAAGAAATACAAGATTTTGTGAATTTTTCATCTTTGAGCATAGTATTTAAACATAAATCAACAATGTAAGTTTCCTTGATTTCATTGAGCCATTCGGCCAGAATATAAATAGTATTTACAAGTAACAACTTTTATGTGGAGATCCTATAAAATAGGATCTAGCTAACTACAAAGCTTATCTAATAATTAATGAAAGCAACAACATTTAAGACTTATCTACACGGCTAGATATGTACTAAGTCAAATAATTAACAATTAATGGAACATTTTCTTCACCCCCCTCAAGTTGGTGAGTATATAATATATATCATACATCCCCAACTTGCTTATAAGTAGTTCAAACACTGGTTTAAATAATCCTTTGGTGAAGATATCAACTGTTTGATCCGGTAGATATGAATGATGTGCACACAACTCCAACTTCAATCTTCTCTTTAATGAAGTGTTTGTCCACTTTAATATGTTTAGTACGATCATGTAGTATAGGATTATAAACAATGCTAATGGCTGCCTTGTTATCACAATACAACTTCATAGGTATTTCCATCTCAATTTTCAGTTCTGTGATTACTCTCTTGATCCAAAACAGTTCACATATTTCATTAGCCATAAATCTGAATTCTGATTCTCCGCTACTTCTAGCAACCACGTTTTGTTTCTTACTTCTCCAAGTTACCAGAATTCCCCATACATAACTGACCTACTGTCCTACTGTTGGCCCTTTTGAAGAATAACTCTTTCCTAATGTTCCTGAAATGGATGGTGCATAAACTGACTCACCATGCTAACTGCAAATGCAATATCTGGCCTTGTATGTGCCAAATGGATTAATCTTCCCACCAATCTTTGATATTGTTGAATGTTGTCCGAAACTCTCTCTTTGACATCTTCCAACTTCTAATTTGGGTCATTTGGAGTATCTGTTGGTCTACATGCATTAATTCATGTTTCTTGAAGGAGATCTAGAACATACTTCCTTTGTGAGACAACAATTTCTTTCTTTGATCTAGCTATCTCCATTCTTCAGAAAGTACTTCAATTCTTTCAGGTCTTTGACCTCAAACTCATCAGCAAGTTTCTTTTTTAGATTTTTAGTCTCTGAAAACTTCATGAATAGTGTATGATCAGCTTGAGCTTGCTTGAACCCCTATATTTTTACAAACTGAGTGAACATGTCAACCCAAGCCCGTGGAGACTATTTGAAGCCCATACAGGGCTTTTCAGTTTGCATACCTTTGAACCAAACTTGTTTTCAAATGGAGGAGGACGTTTCTGTTACGGATGCATTTTTTGGAATTCTCTATCGCAGGAGGAAACATATGGGCCAACCAGAAGTTTAATTGGAAGAGGAGTCTATCCTAATGCTATTTTTATTTCATTCATTTATTTATTTATTATTTCCTATTAGTAATAGAAGTATTTAGAGGTTACAGTTTTAGTTAGACTAGAACTCTATCATGTAAAGGCAGGATGCCTATTTATATTCCTTTTTAAGCCTTAACAAAATCACCGATCATTAGAGAATTAATCCCAGGGAGAAGTTGCATACTTCCCCACTTCCCCTGCGCTCTTACTGCGCTCTTCCAGCCACGAGCAAGAGGAGGAGTAACCTTAGCAGGCAGGTTACCACATCACCCGGATACCCTGCTACCCCAAGTCACCCCTGGACCCGTTCTCAGTCCCAGAACCCTATCAATTTGGTATCAGAGCCGTCACGATCCATGGCGCCACAGAATGATGATTTAACCACCATGATGAAGGAGTTTATGGAGGCTATGACTGCTAAGACAACCGCGTTAGAAGGGCAGATAACGTCTCTCTCTCTCGCAGTCCACAAACGAGATTCAAAGATAGCAGAAACACATGATGATGAAGTGGATAACAGCCGAGTGGAAGACCAGAATTCGCAGAGAACTACGAACCCCTGGAGACCACACTATGCGAAGATGGAATTCCCAGTATTGGCAACTCTGACCCTATCAGCTGGTTGAAAAGGTGTGAAAAATTCTTTTTGAATCAAGAAACTCCTAGTGCTGCCAGGGTGAATGTTGTGGCGTTCCACTTGATATATGATGCACAACTCTGGTACGACCAAATGATCGAGGAGGAAGGTGAAGTCAACTGGGATAAGTTTAAAGACCTTTGCCTGGAGCGTTTTGGCCCCCCTCTGAGTTCTAACCCGGTAGGGCGGTAGGTGATCTAAAGCTTTTGATGCAAACAGGGACAATTGATGAATATTGTGGCCAATTTCAGAAGGCCTCAGTAAGAACTTCAGGAATACAACCCACACATCAGATTGCCTTATATGTCGCTGGTTTACAACCTCACTTGAGGGCGGATGTGGAGATGGCAAAACCAGGAAACCTCGGGTATGCAATGAACCTTGCACGGACATTAGAAGCAAAGAAATCATTGATAATTGCACCTGCCAAAGGTTGGAGTGTTGCAACAGATGTGAAACAACGAAGCCCGCAACAGCATAGACAAGCGACCATGACAACTAAGGCAGCGAACTCGATTATTAAACGGCTCACGAAGGGTGAAATGGCAGAACAACGAGCAAAAGGGCTTTGTTATAATTGTGATGAATTGTGGTCAATGAATCGCCGGTGCAAAAGCTTTTCTTGATCAAGATCGAAGATGAGGAGGAGGAAGATGGCCTACCAGACTTGGAGTTGTCTGCCAACGCTATCAGTGGTACAAAACACTCATCGACCATGCAATTACTAGCACGAATGGAAGGAACAGAGTTGACAGTGTTGATTAACTCCGGAAGCACCCATAATTTCTTAAGAGAAGCGGTAGTATCCTCTCTGAAGTTACCAATTGTCAGGAAGTCGGGGTTGTATGTGCGAGTGGCTAACGGTGAAAGGGTTCCAAGTCAGGGAGTATGCAAACCAGTTCCTTTCCTGGTTGATGGAGAGGAATATAGCACATATTTTTACACCATTCCGCTGGAGGGTTTTGATGCCCTACTAGGCGTGTCCTGGTTGGCAACTCTAGGGCCCATATTATGGGACTTCTCAGATAGAACGATGCGATTCGAAAGGGGGAGCAAGACAGTGATTTGGCGCGGACAGCACCCTACATTTGTTCCTCGTGTGGCGCTGCTTCACAACAATGACCCAGACACAACTCAGTTGGACATCTTAGTGAGGGAATATCATTTTCATTTACCCCAGTGCCGCAAAGGCTCCCACCTACGGTGGGGTAAGGGAGGGTCGGATGTACGCAGTCTTACCCCTGTACTAAAGCACAGAGAGAATGTTTCCGGATGATCCATAGTGAAAATCCCGTCCAAAAGTGCATGGACTGACTGCTGCTTCATAACAAAGAAGTGTTGCTTCATAACAAAGAAGCGCAGACAGTTTATTGAGCCATTTTGCTTTATTCCATCATAATCTCAAGCCAGAAAATAATGAATCTATGGCTCCATTGAACCAAAGGGGCTGCCACCATAGAGAGAGTGTGATCACCGGATTACCCTAAAACCTGGAAGAGGACCGGTGGTAGTGCGACCTTACCGGTACCCTTACTTCCAAAAAGACAAGATTGAAAGCCAATGTGAATTGATGCTCGATCAGGGAATAATCCAGCCAAGCAGATCACCATTCTCTTCTCTAGTTCTACTCGTTAAGAAGCACGATAATTCTTGGCGGTTTTGTGTTGATTATCGAGAACGTAACAACACCGTCAAGGATAAATATCCTATTCCGGTAGTAGATGAATTGCTTGATGAACTTCACGGTGCAAAATATTTCTCCAAACTGGATTTAAGATCAGGGTATCATCAAGTCCGAATGCATCCCGAAGATGTGGAGAAGACTGCATTTCGTACCCATCATGGGCATTTCGAGTTCTTAGTTATGCCCTTTGGCCTAACTAATGCACCATCCACTTTTCAAAGTCTTATGAACAACATCTTTCGCCCCTATTTACGCAAGTTCATCTTGGTTTTCTTCGACGATATTTTGGTTTACAGTAAAACATGGGTGGAACATCTTCATCATGTGCGGCTTGTGTTTGCAATTCTACGTCAAAACAACCTTTTCTTGAAGCAGTCCAAATGTATGTTTGGAGAAACCCAAGTCTCGTACCTGGGACATGTCATAAATGAAAAGGGGGTAGAAGCTGATAGCTCAAAGGTGATTTCGGTTAAAGCATGGCCAATTCCTCACTCAACAAAAACTCTAAGGGTTTTTTTGGGGCTGACAGGCTATTACCGAAAATTCATACAAAATTACGGCGAGATTGCAGCCTAACTTCTCTTTTAAGGAAAAACTCATTTCAGTGGACTCCAGAAGCGCACCATGCATTTGAGAAACTGAAGGAGTTACTCTCTTCTGCTCCCGTGCTTTCATTACCTAATTTCCGGAAAGAATTTGTGGTGGAATGTGATGCATCCGGGACCGGGGTGGGGGCAGTGCTCCAGCAGAAAGGACACCCTATTGCCTTTTTCAGTAGGAAATTCGCAGAGAGGCATCAAAAGATGGCAGCTTATGCAAGAGAGTTAATCAGCTTCGCTAAAGCCATTACTCATTGGAGACCATACCTCTGGGGTCGCCAATTTTTTGTCCGCACCGATCACTTCAGTTTAAAGTACCTCTTGGAGCAACGCTTGACATATAAGCAAGCTGGTGGGATTTGATTTTCGTGTGGCATATAAGCCGGGAAGATTAAATGCGGCTGCTGATGACGTCTCACGCAGAGAGGACGTTGAGATAGAATGTGTGGCACAATCACTATTCCGATAACCACCTTGTTCGAAACAATTAAAAAGGAAGCAACCGGTTCGCCAAAATGGTTTGCAATGGAGGAAAAGGTCAAACAAGGGAAACTAGGAGAGGACTGAAAGCTTGCAGAAGGGTTGCTGCTGTTTAAAGGGAGAGTTTTTCTCAGCTCTGACTTTCCAATTATTCCTCAGATTATCTCTGAATTACATGATATGGGACACGAAGGCACAGAAAAAACTTTGCAGCGTATTCGGCGCGATTTTTATTGGCCCGGTATGAGAAAAATGGTGGGAGATTACATCAGATTGTGCCAAGTTTGTCAGAGAAATAAATGGGTAAATCTACACCCTGCAGGGCTGCTGCAGCCATTACCG